AGTTTTGTACATAGGGTGACCAGGTGTCCTGATTTTATAGGGACAGTCACGATATTTGGGGCTTTGTCTTATATAGGTGCCTATTCCCCCACCCCCACATCCCTGACCCAATTTTTCACACTTGCTATCTGGTCCCCTATTTGCATCCCCCCTGCACAGGTGACAATTGCCCTGTTGCCAACTCACAAGTGTACAGTGAGTCTGGTGGTTTCTGGCCCCTGCTACAGGAGCGCTCGTCAGAGAACCCAGCCAAGATCAAGGCTCCATTGTGCAAGGTGCAGTACAAACCCAGAGTAAGAGACAGCCCCTGCCTCAGAGAGCTCACAATCTAGTGCAAAGCCTAGTGCTGAGTTTGTGACATGGGTGCTGGAATTGAAACTGAGCAAACTCAGCTCACATGGGGGTCACTGAAAATCCATTAGACAGGAACAACATTAACCCTTGTTGGGCTGGGCTGGATTCAAGCAGGTGCCCTACTGGTGAAAAGCTCTGTAGTTGTATAGCACTCACCTGAGGCTGCCCGTCCCCTGGGAACACTAATGATTCGAGCTATGGGAAATTTTTCAGCCAAAACTTTTTTCCAGCTTCAGTGAATTTAGCTTCAGTTCATGAATTCATGTCAGTTTTGCTAAATTGTTTGTGTCAAAAATAAACCCTGTAATACCAAAAAAAAAAAAAAAAAAAAAAAAAAAAAAAAAACAGAAAAAGGGGGACATTTTGTGATGTTTCACTTCAGAAGTGACTTCATTTTTGTTTTTAAAATAATGCAAAAACATTTTTAAAAGTGCTTGAAATGGAAACAGTTCATTTTGGGGTGACCAGAAAGGAATTTTTTTTTCAACCACTGAACTAATTTTTTTAAATTTTGACCTCAACTGATTTTTTCCCCCAGAAATGCCAGTGAATCGAAAAATCCATTATTCACCCAGCTCTGCTAATGATCCAACTTTAAGAATGAGGCTGCCTTCTGGCAAGGTAAGTTTATTAGCTCAAGTTCTGGCCTTTAGGAAGCTTGCATAGGCAGGTTCTTGCCTCTGCAAGAAACTAAAGCAAACGCTCCTACCCCCACCCCCCCATCTCTGCTCTCAGTCTCAAACTCACTCTCAGTTGATCACACCCTCTTCTTAAAGGGCCAGTTTTCTCTAAGCAAATACAAATGATAAAATGTAACAACAGTACAACCAACAGCTGTATAGCATCCAGAGAAGTTTCTGCATACAATGCTTTGCAATGTAAAATTGATTTTGAACAATTACTCCATGCACTTTACACTAACATAAGAACAGCTATGCTGGGTCAGACCAAAGGTCCATCTAGCCCAGTATCCTGTCTTCTGACAGTGGCCAATGCTAGGTGCCCCAGAGGAATGAACGGAACAGGCAATCACCAATTGATCCATCCCCTGTTGCCCATTCCCAGCTTCTGGCAAACAGAGGCTAGGGACACTTCAGAGCATGGTTTTGTTCCTATACATTTCCTAACCCGTGGGTCATTAGCATTTGAACCTACAATTTTTACATCCAGAGCACAGACTTGTCCAGTTCAGCTAGAACGCTGATGGTGGTGGGATTGGAAGGCTGCTGCTAGCCACTGTGTGGACCAGTTCATGCAGGGATTCACACCACACACATTGGCAGTGGATCATTCATGGGACAGTGGTGGAGCACTGAGCATCAGGATTCTTGGTTTCTAAATGCGACGATGCCTCCATGTCAGCTGCTGGGACCAAGCCTGGGATCTCCAGATGTAAAAGCACATAGCGCTACCCCTGAACTAAAGAGCCAGCTCTCCCAGTATGGAAGCAGTGAAAGTCATAGACCTCTGTATGTGGTCTAGAGCAGGGGTTCTCAACCTTTTTCTTTTTGAGCCCCACCCCACCCCCCACTATAAAAACTCCACAGCCCACCTGTACCACAACAACTGTTTTGCTGCATATAAAAGCCTGGTGTTAGGGGGTAGGAAGCAGGGCAATTGCCCGGGGCCCCACTCCATAGCGGGCCCTGCAAAGCTACGTTGCTCAAGCTTCGGCTTCAGCGCAAGTCCTGGGCTTCAGTCCCGCACAGCAATGCTTTGGCTTTCTGCTCTGGGCCCCAGCAAGTCTAACACTGCCTCTGCTTGCAGGACCCCTTGAAAACTGCTCATGCCTCCCCCCCAGCGGGTTCCAGACCCCTGGTTGAGAACTACTGGTCTAGAGCATCTATATGTCCCAGGAAAGAGCTAAGGGACTGGAAGTGATTAGGGTTACCATATTTTGTGCCTCCCAATGGAGGACACTCCCCGGGGCCCCAGCCCCGCCCACGCCCCCGCCCCAACTCCGCCCCCTCCCAAAGTCTCCGCCCCCTCCCCTGCTTCCCGCGAACATTTAATTCGCGGGACGCCTGAAGCAGGTAAGGGGGGGGGCTGGGGAGGAGGCGCGGCCCAGGCTGGCCCCCCGGCGGTTCCAGCCTGGGTCGGCTCGGGCCCTGGG